AGTCTGTATAAATATATAAAGTTTGTAAAGTCTGTGGAGTGACACAGAACTTTTAAGTCTTTTCCTAATTTTGTTGCAGTATTGAGATAAGTGCTGCTTCAGTGTGCTTGTTCCTCTTTTGGTTGCTCCTGAGCTCCCAGCAAAACTCCAAGCTCCAGGCAGGACTCCCACCAAGATAAGCCGCTCACCACAACCTGTGGTCTTGGTAGATGAATACTAGTCCTTTTGCCTGCTTGTAATAGCCATAGAAATAGACATCGCCTCCACTTCCCCGTATGTAGGCTGTTTGCTTGTCACGTTTCCTCGTATGCACACACCCTTTACACAGACCTTCTCTTCCACTCTGTCTTAATGTTTGCTTTTCTAAGCTAAGATCTTGGGTGGGATTGAGGCTGCTTCTGGACCTTGTCGCATCCTTGAAAACACCAGGGTGTGGCTCATTATCACAGGCAACTGGAAAGCTGGCCTGGATGCTTGTGAGTAGTCAGGGAAACAAGGGAAATGGGGCATGATGTGTTTTTGCCTGGCTGCAGCTTACCTTTCCAAAACACAGGCAGTAACTCCAACTTCACTCCCTCACACATGCCATCTACGGCTTTAAAAGTGACAACTAGCACCTTAAATTGCACCCAGAAACCCACTGGGAACTAGTGCAGCTCACACAGCAGTGGTGTTATGTTACCAATAAACTTTAATTCTTATTCGCTTTAGTTGCAGAATCGTTAACAGTAAACCAGGCAAATCTGGGCTTTGCATAAGGTAAAATAACAAAATAAAATATTCATTTATAGATGAAGAACATACACCCAAATTCAGGGCAGGTTAGCAAATTTTTATTTTATTGCCCTGTACTGAAAGCTGACCTATTTGATGAAGTGATGGGTGCCAGTGCTGGCAAATCTGAATTCTTTGTGGTCAAAGTGTTCCATGTCATGATTTTGCCAAACCTTGAAGCAACACTGCCCATTTAATTTGATAGTTTCTGAATAAATATAATAAGGCTATTCTTTTTGCTCCATGTCCATGTCCCTCTGAAGTGATCTCCTGAAATTTCTTGAAATGATCTTCATGCCACAGAGAAGAGGGCAGAATGGCTACATTTTTTTTAGTAAAGTTAGCCCCCTGTAGTTAGCCTCCTATATGAGCCACAAATAAAATAAGAACAAGAAATGCCCACAATTTGGTTTATACAAACTGACGATCAGTAGTCTGAGATGGTATGGCCTTTTGCCCTTCAAGTCACCAATGGATATTGCAAATCCAGGCTTGGATCCAGTAATTCACATTTTATACCCTAACTTCACTATTCTGTAAAGGATAATGTTTCAGTATATGGGTCCAGAAAGGATTTTATAAATTCTACATCTTGATTTCATTTCTGTATACAGGAAGATAGCAATCATTGTAAGAACGTCCCTGGGGTATGTGTGTTGGGGTTTGATCAGAACAAATGTCTGAGCTCCAGTTAAAATGCAGATCTGAAGTTTTAGATTAGGTTTATTTATATGGAATTATATTTCACTTTAAGAAGTATAAGGCATTATGGGCTTTTGTTCCCATGATGTGCTACTTGTTTTGTTTCTTTTGATTATGTGTCATCAAGATGTTTTCGACTCTTAGTGACCACATAGATAGATTATCTCTTTCAAGTCTCCCAATGGTACACTCATCCCCCTGTAACTGAGTCCATCCACCTTGCTGCTGGTTATCCTCTTTTCTTTCCTTCCACCTTTCCCATCATTAGAGCCTTTTCCAGAGAGCTGGGTCTTCGCATAATGTGTCTGAAGTAGGATTATTTGAGCCTGGTCATCTGTGCCTCAAGTGAGAACTCTGGGTTGATTTCCTTGATGATCCATTGGTTTGGTTTGTTTCTATGTGCTGCTAAATTTGTTAGTAGCTAATTGATCTTCCATCTATGCTATGCCCAAATGTGGGCAACTTTCTCATCCCCTATAAATTTACTGAGTTGTAAAACAGGCTGGGTGCCCTCTGTTGTCACAAAGGCAGAATGAGCTTTACAAAACAGGAAGCCATTGCTGGGTCTGCAACAATATGCTCAATTTCAGCATGGATCCATGTTTTCAAGAGACAAAAATTGTAGGAGCTCTAGTGAGAATTGTGCATTTCCATTGGAATTATATTCCAGTTGAAAATGATCACTTAACTGAGTGGATTTTATCTGGCTTTCTCTCCTGCTCTTCATTTTATCATATAATATATCTAACATTTGCTGCAGATCATTCAGGGTATCAGCCAGCAACCCAGTATCACCTGCATACAACAATACACGAGTATTCATGCCCTCAACCATCACAACTCTACTGTAACCACAGGCATCCCTTATGCATTTATCTATAAGTAGCTTTCTATTTGTTCTCATACATGTTTTCCTTTACTTACCTACTCTTACTGCAGTCAGCAACCAACCTTCAACGCCATATAGAACATTCCCATAATTGAAGCCTAATCATGTTGTTATGCACTTTCTCTAAATCAACTCACACTCAGTAAAAATGCACATTCATATCAGTGAGGTTATTAATCTATCAATATGTAAACCTCAATCACTATTACTATAATCACTAATAGGTGCTTTTTCTTGGTTTATGCTCTCATTTGGCAGTATTGCAATCACAATCAGAATATTTCAGTTGTAAAACAGGTTGGGTGCCCTCTGTTGTCACAGAAGCAGAATGAGCTTTACAAAACAGGAAGCCATTGCTGGGTCTGCAACAATATGCTCAATTTCAGTACAAATTCATGTTTTCAGAAGATAAAAATTTTAGAAGCTCTAGTGAGAATTGTGCATTTTCATTTGGATTATATCTTCCAATGGAAAATAATCACTTAAGAGTCTAATTTCAGACAAATAAAATTAGTCTGCAGTTCTGGGGATGTCAGTGCTTCTGTTTACCTGATGTCCTTTAGTTTTTAATTGTTCAAAGTGAAGAGAGATATAATAGCATAATTTGTATAGTATCTCCTAAACCCTTCAGTGAAATGTGCTAGAGTCTACAACTTCTGTAAATCATGCTAATTAATACAGATTGGATATATGTATTTTTTTAACTATTATTCCCTGTCAGAAGAGGATAATCCCTTATTTGTATGTAAAGTGTTGACTGGCTCTCTTCTCCTTTGCTTAGGTGGTATTGAATCAGACCTGATCTTCCTTACAGATTTTTTAACCATTTAATAGCATTAGCTTTTATAATTATAATTTAATTTTCATTTAATTTCATTTAAAATACTGCATGTGTTCACACATGAAATACAGAACTAGAAATTCCGGCCCAATGGTTTCTACAGAACTCCTTTCTTAAGCAGGAACAACTAAACTAACTAGGAACTTCTCAAGGTAGGAAAGCTTTAAATTGCTTCTGAACATGGATTCTAGACTTATCTATTCTTTAACAAACCAGTTTGTAGCTACAGCTTGATTTATAGATCCTGGCTTCTCAGAAGAGCAATAAGCCAAGAATTGGATTAAAATGAAAGCT